GATATAGTATGACAGGATAACCAATCCTGTATGATATAGTATGACAGGGTAACCAATCCTGTATGATATAGTATGACAGGGTAACCAATCCTGTATGATATAGTACGAGAGGGTAACTCATCCTGTATGACATAGTATGACAGGGTAACCCATCCTGTATGACAGAATATGACAGGGTAACCCATCCTGTATGGCGGAATATGACAGGGTAACCCATCCTGTATGGCGGAATATGACAGGGTAACCCATCCTGTATAACAGAATATGACAGGGTAACCCATCTTGTATAACAGAATATGACAGATTAACCCATCCTGTATAACAGAATATGACAGGGTAACCCATCCTGTATAACAGAATATGACAGGGTAACCCATCCTGTATAACAGAATATGACAGGGTAACCCATCCTGCATAACAGAATATGACAGGGTAACCCATCCTGTATGACAGAATATGACAGGATAGTGAACTCATCCTGTGAGACGAACTTTTAGAGAACAAACACAGCTAGGTGTCTCTCGCTCCCGTTACCTACTTACCACAGTGAGTAGCTTAGGGACACACCGGCAAATGTACCTATGTTCACTGAATAAATGCATAAAAGATCTCCAGTTCTTCCTCACCCCTCCACCCTTATTCCATCCATTACCTCCTCCTTCACGTCTACTCTTTCCCTTTCTCTAACACTCTCCTCCACCTCCTCCATCAAAGCTCCTTCCAGACCGGTTTGAGGAGTGACTTAGCAATTTTGCAAAATCATAGACTTTAGAGTTTCGATGTATTGTTTATTGTCTTAAAGATGTGAAGGTGTTGTTACTGTTAAATATTAAAATATATATATATATATATATATATATATATATATATATATATAATATATATATATATATATATATATAATGTCGTGCCGAATAGGCAGAACTTGCGATCTTGGCTTAAATAGCAACGCTCATCTTGCCATATAGGACAAGTGAAAATTTGTGTATGCAATAATTTCGCCAAAATCATTCTGAACCTAACGAAAAAAATATATTTCATTATGTTTGTTTAGTATTAAATTATTGTAAACAAATCTAAAATATATTTAGTTGGGTTAGGCTAAAATAAATTGCGCTTGTTATAATAAGGTTAGATAAGTTTTCTAAGTTCCTTTTGGTGCAAAATTATAAATTTTTACATCAACATTAGTGAAAAAAATATATCTTTAAACGTATAAGAGAAAATTTTAGAAAGGACTTAATTTTAAATGAGTTCTTGCTAATTGACCAGTTTTACATATTCGGCACGACATATATATATATATATATATATATATATATATATATATATATATATATATATAATATATATATTATATATATATATATATATATATAATGCAAAAGATCACAGTAAACAGGTGATTTTAGAATATGCAAAACAACCACTGTGAAAGAATAGAGAAATTCCAAGCGCTTACGTGACTACTCACATTATCAAGGAACAATGAAAGTAAAGCATCAAAGGAGAGTATATAAAGGGGTAGCCCACACCTCACTATCAGATCCCACAACACCTGACGCGAGACTGCAGGCCCACCGGCCGAACTAGATAGGTCCTTCACACAACCCACCAACAAACTATTCTACCCAAGAAATAAAAAACTGAAAAATTAATATTTGTCCAATGTATTATTAAATTCTTCCCAAATTCTATTAAATGTAAATGGATCTAATTTATATAAACCAAAGGAAATATTCATATTATTGTCAAAACTGCTTTTTATGAAACAAGATTCAATTATATTCCTGTCGACCATGGACTTGCTTGATACTACTTTCTCAACTTTTTGAAAATCATTTGGATGGTTAAAATCTCTTACATGAATAAATAGAGCATTGGAATCTTGTCCAGTTCTAATGCTATATTTATGTTGTTTTAATCTTAGTTCGAGATTTTTACCAGTTTGACCGTAATAAACTTTATCGCAAATTTTAAAAGGAATCTTATAGACACATCCATAAGCATTTTGGGGGGAATTCTTTATCAAAAGTTTCTTTACTGTATCAAGATTTTTGAATGCAACTTTAATATTAAAAGTCTTAAGAAGAGAAGGCATATCAACCAAGTTTTCATGGTAAGGGAGAACCAACATATTTTTAGTTGAATAAGGCTGGTTGTCCCTTTTTGGATTGTAAAAAGTATTTCTAGCAACTTTAAAAGATTTATCAATTACATTTCTTGGGAATTTCAAATCATTACCTATTTCATAAATTTTGGATATTTCCTCATCTATGAACTCTGGAAAACAAATTCGTAAAGCTTTATATACTCTCCTTTGATGCTTTACTTTCATTGTTCCTTGATAATGTGAGTAGTCACGAAAGCACTTGGAATTTCTCTATTCTTTCACAGTGGTTGTTTTGCATGTATATATATAATCGGAATTAGCAGGCAGCTTCTTACTAGTTTTATATAGAATATTTTAAATTGAAAGTTGTCAAAGGACACCGTATCTATGGTAGCTGATAGCTCCATTTCAACCGTAGCTGATGGCATCATTCTTGTGGTGGATGATGGCACCATTTCTGTGGTGGCTGATGCCACCATTATGCTAAAGAAAGTAACATTCGAGTGATATATTGAAATACAGGTTCCTTTTACCCACAGAAAATATAACTAACATTATGTAGAAACTGTCTTCAAACTCAAAATTTATACACTTTGTTAAAATAGTTAATCAGTTTTGGCTAAAGAGGAAAAGACAGCATATAGTTTTTGCCATCCTCATTTAGTCTGACATGCCATAGTTTATATAGCTTTTCTTCTATTGTTTGCTATTTGTATCTTCTGTTTTCAATGTCTGTCTTCGTAATTAAAGTATGATTTCGTAACTTTTAACCATATGGTTTTCGAATATAAATGCATGTGTATAGCTACGGGGATTATGGTGGGAAATTATGATGCAAAATACAATGCAACTGATTGAGTTACCCTTGTAGTTTTTCTCACTCGTACAGTAAAGGGCATGAGGAATTTTTTTTCGAATCCCACTGTCGGTGAAAGGTGTGTGTGTGTGTGTGTGTGTGTGTGTGTGTGTGTGTGTGTGTGTGTGTGTGTGTGTGTGTGTGTATGTGTGTGTGTGCGTGTGTGCGTGTGTGCGTGTGTGTGTGTGTTTGTGTGTGTGTGTGTGTGTGTTTGTTTATCAGTCGTTGTTAAGCGAACGGTGTTATTTTGCTTCTTAAATTCTCTTTCTGTTCCATGTTCAGGAAGCGCTTCCTCATTCTTCTGTGTGGTCTCTGATCCTACCACTGTGCACCGTGGCCTGGAGGCAAAAGCTCTCGCTTCACACGGTGAGGGTTCGATTCCCAGTGAAGAGGTGGAAGCATTGGACCTGTTTCTTTACACCGGTTGTCTATATTCACCCATCAGTAAAATGGGTACCTGGGTGTTAGTGGACTGATGTGGATCGCATCCTGGGACAAAACTAACCTAATTTGCCCTTGTTATGCGGAACATAACAAGGGGATTTCTATATAGTAGTATGTCATTGATGTCAGCTAGACCTGTATACCATGTACATGTACTTGTAATAAATAAAGATATTATTACTATTGATTCTGTCTGGTGTTCCGTTGATGCTTTCTGATTTTTCCGTATGCTCTTTGATGGTTCCAGTGATGCTGTTTGATTCTACCGTAATCTTCTTTGATCGTTCCGTAATTTTCTTTCATCCTCATATAAAATTCTATTCCTCCAGCAGTTTTCGTAAAAAAAAGTTACTTTTTCAGTGGAAAATATTTTTATATATTCTTTTATTGTCTACATTTTTTTCATCTGTTTCTCAGAGTCTCAAAGTTGTGAATTTCCAGGTGGTGAAAACCGTCGATTTTGAGTTATTTAACGCTAAAACTGACGCAGGTGAAGGGCTCCTGGTCAAAGGAACTTGAGCTACTCTCCCCTTCCTTGAATCAAACTTAACCACTCCCAAATTTCCGAGATGCTGCATGAACCCAGCAAGTTTACAGCTTTTCATAACAAACAATAATAACGTGACAACAATAATAGTAATGGAAACAAAAGCAATAATAATATTTATTATTATTATTAAAATAACCATATTCCATTTCTCTTCTATCGCCTCCTCTTGATTACAATCAAAATAATTAGGTATGTTATCTAGTTGATGTTCATTTGAAATGTATCTTCAAATCTCAAATCAACGTCGTATAAGCAATGAGCATGTTGCATGACTTCCTTGATGTCATATGATCACTGTACTTAGAAGTGTTGAGGAGGAAAACACAGTGATAGGATGTCTAGTTGCCTGAGAAGTAGGAAGCACGTGACAGGGTTAGTGCTTATAACCAGGGGAAGGAGGAGGAGAAGGGAAAGATAAGAAGCTGAGGAGGAGGAGGAGGAGTATTCTACTGGATTTTAATTACACGATATAGTGTATTTTTAATTACACGGTATATTTTTAATTACACAGTATAGTGGTAGGAGTTTGGAGAGAATCAGGGATTAACCATCTCAACTGCTTCTGTTGCCTCCTCTGTACTCGACTGAAGAAGCCTACTGTCTAGGCGAAACGTTTCGAAATAAAGTTACCTAAATGTTGCACATTTGCCTCATCAACTTGTCGGTATTGTATACCAACATCATATTCATGAATTTGTATAAATGACCCTTTCAAGGAGAGGTACCTTGAAGCTATTGAAGGGCCCTTGATGGAGTATATTAGAGCTGGAGTCCCCTTCCTTGGTTCAGGACATACTGCCCTCCATTCCCCAGCCTGTATATGATCCATACGGGTTTCTTGCACTCCCACGAGATATAAATAATGAAAATATTCACCGAAATGAAGCATACTTGAAAGTGCATATACCTGAAATTTAGGTCGCTAGCAGTGAATGGTAAGAAACTAAATAATGATCGTAACACAAGAGAGTAACAGTATAAGATTCCTTATAAGATATGCAAAGGTAATATGCAAATTAGGGCTATTATGTGAAAGTTTTACTTGACATTCTCTGTTTATCACAGAAATATTATACTTCTAATTATAGACTATCGCAGTGGTCAGACTCCAGAGTAGTAACATACAGTGTGAGGCTGAGCAGAGACTATGTACCTCTGACGAGTTTTAAGAGTTATCATTATTGAATTACACATCATAATACTATTATAATGTAATTTTAAAATTTGTTCCATTGTATTTTACATTGGGATTGACTGCAGAGTCTGGTAGTTTTGTATATTATATATATATATATATATATATATATATATATATATATATATATATATATATATATATATATATATATATATATATATATGTATATATATATGCAAAACAACCACTCTGAAAGAACAGAGAAATTCCAAGCGATTTCGTGACTACTCAATGTGAGTAGTCACGAAAGCGCTTGGAATTTCTCTATTCTTTCAGAGTGGTTGTTTTGCATATTCTGAAATCACCTGTTTACTGTGATCTTGTTGCATATATATATATATATATATATATATATATATATATATATTATATATATAATCCTCCGTAAGCCATACGACTAAAATGCCGGGAACAAGAGGCTAGTGACCATTTCTCCTGTATATATTACTAAATTTAAAAGAGAAAATATCGTGTTTCCTTTTGGGCCACCCTGCCTCGGTGGGATAGTGCCGGTTTGTTTAAAGAATATATGTATATATATATATATATACACACACATATATATATATATATATATATATATATATATAATATATATATATATATATATATATATATATATATATATATATATATGTCGTGCCGAATAGGCAGAACTTGCGATCTTGGCTTAAATAGCAACGTTCATCTTGCCATATAGGACAAGTGAAAATTTGTGTATGCAATAATTTCGTCAAATTTATTCTGAACCTAACGAAAAAAATATATTTCATTGTATTTGTTTAGTATTAAATGATTGTAAACAAATCTAAAATATATTTAGTTGGATTAGGCTAAAATAAATTACACTTGTTATAATAAAGTTAGGTAAGTTTTCTAAGAATCTTTTGGTGCAAAATTATAAATTTTTACATTAATATTAATGAAAAATATATATCTTTAAACGTATAAGAGAAAATTTTAGAAAGGACTTAATTTTAAATGAGTTCTTGCTAATTGACCAGTTTTACATATTCGGCACGACATATATATATATATATATATATATATATATATATATATATATATATATATATATATATATATATATATATATATATATATATATAAACCCCTTCCCCAGTATATATTACTAAATTTAAAAGGAGGAAATTTCGTTTTATCTCTTGGGCCACCCCACCTCGGTGGGATACGGCTGGTACGTTGAAAGAAGAGAAGAAAGAATATATACGTCGAGCCGAATAGAAAAAACTTGCAATTTTGGCTTATATTTGTGTATGCAATTATTATCAAAAATCATTCTGAACCTAACGAAAATAATATATTTTATTGTGTTTGTTTATTATTAAATTACTGTAAACTTATCTAAAAGATATTTAGTTGGATTAGGATAAATTAAACTGCGCTTATTATAATAAGGTTAGGAAAGTTCTCTAAGGTTCTTTTGATACGAGATTATTAATTCTTGTAATAACATAAATGAAAAAATATGTCTTTAAACGAATAAGAGAAATTTTTTAGAAAGGACTTAATTTTAAATGAGTTCTTGCTAACTGACCAGTTATATCTATTCGGCACGACATTATATATATATATATATATATATATATATATATATATATATATATATATATATATATATATATATATATAAAATGTCGTGCCGAATAGGCAGAACTTGCGATCTTGGCTTAAATAGCAACGGTCATCTTGCCATACAGGACAAGTGAAAATTTGAGTATGCAATAATTTCGCCAAAATCATTCTGAACCTAACGAAAAAAATATATTTCACTGTGTTTGTTTAGTATTAAATTACTGTAAACAAATCTAAAATATATTTAGTTGGGTTAGGCTAAAATAAATTGCACTTGTTATAATAAGGTTAGGTAAGTTTTCTAAGATTCTTTTGGTGCAAAATTAAATTTTTTTACATTAACATTAAAGAAAAAAATATATCTTTAAACGTATAAGAGAAAATTTTAGAAAGGACTTAATTGTAAATGAGTTCTTGCTAACTGACCAGTTTTACATATTCGGCACGACATAATATATATATATATATATATATATATATATATATATATATATATATATATATATATATATATATATATATATATATATATATATATGTGTGTGTGTGTGTGTGTGTGTGTGCGCGCGTTTATATGTGCGTGCGTGCGCGTGCGCTTACATAATTGTTCACCTAATTGTGTTTGCAGGGGTAGTCATAACTCCTGGCCCCGCCTCGTCACTCGTCGCTACTAGTTCCTCTCTCCCTGCTCCATGAACTTTATCATACCTCTTCTTAAAGATATGTATGGATCCTGCCTCCACTACATCAATTTCCAGACTATTCCACTTACTGACAACTCAATGCCTGAAGAAATACTTCCTAACACCCCCCTGACTCATCCGAGTCTTCAACTTCCTATTGTGACC